CCAACAGCCCCTGGCTGTTGTGTGGTTTTTCTAGGCAAATGTACATCCAGTTAAAAGTTAGTTGTGTATCCTTTACAGGACGTTGCAGAACCAACCCTAACAGCCCCTGGCTGTTGTGTGGTTTCTCTAGGCAATCTACATCCAGTAGTTTGCCATTGCTTGCTGGACGGTCGGCTTTCTTGATACCACTGTCGAAACCAACGCAAGGCGCATTGCCCGCAGCTGGGATCGAACCTGGCATCCCGGCATTAGTACGTCCAGTAGTTAATAATAATAATAGTATGGCATTAATTAGCGACTACGGTGTTCGGCAATTGGCGGTCTTTTGGCAATTTCCGTTACCATGGAAACGTTCGAAACTTGCTTCGCAAATGTCGGCTGGGGTTTCAGGATGGGTCCTAATCTCTCATGAAATTTTGCGATTGGTGTGATTTTCACCCACTATAAAAAGCTGAAAACGGCGGGAAGGAACCCGATTAACAGCGCATGTGTACGACAGCCGGACGTCCTCTGTTTTTCTGTTACATCCGTTTGATTGAAAATAGCGATAAGTATTCAGGGTTGGCTTTAGGCTTTAACTGTTACTGGTCCTGGTAATGCTAGTTATAATTGAATTCTCCGTCCAATTTTACATTTGTGTATAAAATTTCTTTCTGAACAGTGGCTAGGTAGATGTACAGTGAAATTTTTCAGGCAATCGCTGGCTCAGCCAGTGGCTGTCTCATTGTCTGCCATCTTGTCCAATGACAATCCAATGTAAACAAAGCCAAAACAGAAGTGCGCAGTTTGGCTGCGCAGAGAAAACCTTGTTTCTGGGTCACAAGTTTTATTTAGCGGAAGGCATTTAAAAAATTTGACTAAAGTACCTACATTAATAAATAAAAACAAAGGTGTAGCAGAACACAAACTCGGGAAAAGAAAAGGCAATCGAATACAGTAATGTATTTTCTTATTTGCACACCTCTTACTTTTTTAAGCAATTATTTTAAAAAAAAACGCAGTATGATTCAATACAACACTACTGTAAAACTTAAGTATTAGTCTATTAGTTTTACCATTCAGTAGTCTGCTGCAATGAAAAGTATGACTGAAAATTAAATATAAATTATCTATTCCGATCACATCAATATCTCAGTTACTACAAAACAGATGCAAAAAAATACCGTTTTAATCAAATGTTACATTATCCTGCCTGGATAATAGGCGTCTTACATTTCTCTTGCACAAATCAGTCAGCTAGAATTATGAATATTCGTCTGTGTTTACGTAGTCACTCCCCAGTGGTATAGTCGCCATTTTGAAACACTGGATGGGCCTGACTTTTGGGCTAAAGGAAACTTGGTTTCAGGTGAGAAAAGATCATTTCCGCCTTACCCACAAACGTAAACAAACTAACTGGTGACCCGTGTTATTTATGCCGGGACTTTGAACTGTATAATCCTGTGAGGTATCAGTGCATACAAATACACCTGTGCATTTTATTGTTTATTTGCTTTCGCAGTTGCTGTGCTAAAACTGGGTTGTTGGTGCCTTGCAGCTCCCAGTGGAAGCATAGGTCCTAAACTGTCACCACTGTCTACTGTTTTACCACTTTTTAGGGCGTTCAGGGGGTCGTGAGCCTGAGGATTTAGAGCCACATGGCTGGTGCTGTCGCCACGGACTGTGCAGGCTATAATGTTTAATTTTATACGAACTTACGTATCAGCCCCACAGAGTCAGTAGAATGTTGGGTTCTTTTCAGTTTAGCCACCACATCACGGGAGATTTAGGGACATCCTATATTAGGCCGAGGGGGTCGGGGTAAGGTTTGTGTTAAATGAATGGCGACTACTACCAACCATAACCCCCTATAAAATGGGATGTCCTTAAATCTCACGTGATGTGGTTGCTAAACAGAAAATAACCAAATGTTGACTTGGGAAGTGACATGACAGCACTCAGGACACCCCCATAAGCACTCTGTCCCTATTTTCAGCAGCAAGCCAAAGGTTCCAATTCTGATGGCACCAGTCAGTAACTGTCTGATTGTACATCTGTCTTGCCTTTTCCTTGAGTGTCAAGCATCAGCCAGATTCCCTGGTAACTCCCAGCAGTGCCATTCTCATCAGACTTAAATGATCTAGTTGTGCCTATGAACTGTTCATTGGCTCCCTAAGGACCCTCACAACATCTAGTTTGTCATACATCAGCCCACCACTAGGTGGTGCAGAACTGGATAGTCTATCTGCCTGCTCATTTACCAATACACGGTAATCACCTGGAGAAAATGTCCAAAGGATACTAACTACCCAGGATCTCTGAAGTGATGCTTGCCACTCTGCACAGAGCATGCCTGTCTCCACCTTCAAACTAGACATTGTGACTGGGTTTGCTGCACTGATGTCCATTCGCTTTTGCCATGAACTCCTATCACTTCGTCTGCCTCTCAACACAGAGCCATCTGTATAGATAATCACATCATCTGGGTGGGAATTGTCATGAAACATTTGTTGACATTTTGATTCTGCAGCACCAGCTGGCCAGTCCCTGCGCTCACGACCCAAAGTGATCAGAACCCTACACAAATCGTATTCTTGCTTGGACACTCTGTTTTCAGCTTGTGCCATCCAAGACCTTCCTCTTTTCAGTCTTTGACCCTTAGCTCTACCACTTCATCCTTGAGGTGCTTCTTGTCTGCAGCTACTCTCTGCTATGACTTTGCTTGCAGAACTTTAAGCCGTTGAGTTGAGTGCATTCAAGAACTGACTTGGGCATTCCCATAAGCCTTCTGTCCCCATCTTCAGCAGATAGTGCAGAGTTCCAGTACCAATGGTGCCAGTAACGTTCTGATTAAATGTTTGTCTTGCCTTTCCTCTGAGCGTCAAGCATTGGCCAGACAGATCCCTTGTCACTCCCTGCTGCATCACTGTCACAGACTGTGGTGATCTATTTGCTCTTCTGAATTGTACACGCTCTCCCACACAGCCCTAACCACGTCTGCTTCATCATGCATCAGTATTCCACCAAATTGTACAGAGCCAGCCAGTCTGTCCGCCTGTTCATTTACCAACACAATGGAGTACCCCTGAGAAAAAATCAAGACAATACTTCTCACCCATGACCTCCGCAGCGAAGCATGCCTGTCCTGATCTTCCTCAGCATGCTTTTTGAGTCAGTTACAATCACGATGTGTGTGTGTCGTGTTCTCTAACCAACGGTAAGCTGCAGTGACCACCTCCACCTCCATTCCCAAGCTGAATGTGTTAAAATTAAAAGTAACTATATTTGAACAGGAGTCTTTCCTTTGCCAGAGCCACTATGAAGGATTGAATGTATCTTGAAAGTTGGTCCTGCATAATTGAATTATTAATTGGCAAAAACGTTTAGTTGGATTTTGCAACTAAGTTATATAGTATGTTAGAGTGTGTAACGTACTGAGTGAGGTAGTCAGCCTTCTTTAGTTGCCACTTATGACATGCATGAAGTTTCCAGTGTACTGTTCTTTGCTTGACTGGGCACTGGTAACACACACTTAAAGTCCAGGCCGTCGCATTGTTCCCCCCCCCCCCACCCCTTCCCGACTGAAGATTAATTATAACTAGTAGTCATGAAGCTCCCAAAATATTGTGATGTGTCACTGATTGTTAACAAAGTGATCGTTATAATGTGCTATGCTGATAAGTATAGGCAGTCAGGGTTTGCCATCTCACATGATCACCTGTCTCCAATCAGGTCTGTGATCTTAAATTTATAATTCATGTCATCATTATGCCACCCTGTCCCCAAATAATTATATCCAGTGCTCCACCTTACCCAAAAGTGAATTTGTAGAAGAAGTAGGGCCTTCCTTTTTCTTGAAAGTAGAAGTACTCATACCTGGTATTACTGAGTTATAGTACATTTCAAAACGACGACTTGCTTCCATATTCTGAGGCTATTCTTTTTTTTTTTTTTTTTTTATGTCTGTGTTCATCTGAAGACGTTAGTATGTTTTGCCCATTTAAAACATGGCTGCGATGTTTGATACTTTTAGCCTACACATCCAACTTTTGCAGGCATTTGTTGCTGGGTTATTCATCATAATATGCTAGTTTTTATATTTTTATATAGACAATTTGTTATCACTTGCAGCTCACCCCATCTGTTTAATTTCACTCTAGTTTCCTTCATCTGTTTTTTGTTCTGCCATTATTTCTGTCCCTAGTTGATTCCATTATAGAGCCCTTCTAACTATATCTCAGATTTTCTCAGTGTGTGTCCTATCCAAGACCAGCATCTTTTCTTCACCTCTTGATTCACTGGAATTTGTTTAGTTATCCCCCAAAGCTCAACATTAGTGATTTGATCACCCCTCTATTCTGCACAGGCACCAGTTGATAAATATTTGCAGTTTACTTGAAATTGTTTTAGTTGTTCTCTGTGTTTTTGTTTCATACAGCAGTATTGATTTTATTGAATTTTTAAAATTTAAGTTTAGTTATTAGTTTTAATTTCCTTTGACTTTAAAAATTTCCTAGTGCTATGAAAACCCCTCTTGCCTTTTGTATTCACATTTATTTTAGTGTCTCCATCAGTTCCCTCATCTGTATCTACATTGCTGCCCAAATAGGTGTAAGACTCCACATTTTGGTGTGAGATATCACAAAGAGAAATAATTAGATTATTGTTTGCTTGGTTTAATGAAAACTCCCCTCTTCCCCCTCCCCCCCCCCCCCCCCCCCCCCCCCTTATGGATTTTTGGACCAAATTCTTGTGATCTCTCATCAAGTATGGTAATCGTATTTTATTTCTATGAGTAGGACAGAAGAGAAGTGGCATTAGCAAAACCCAGGTCATCAAACTGTTTTGTAGGTGTCCACTGAATTAAATTTCTGGTGGTAGTTGTTTCTGTCTTCCCAATCCAGTCTCTTGCATGTCTGTTTTACAACAGATAGTAAATAATATTATTACATTAAATGATAAAATGATTGTTTTTTCAGACAGACTTAAAATCTTTTGACTGAAATGTTCAGGTGAGGAGAATGTCTGTTCCAACAAGAATTCTAGTGAAACTTGTTAAATCTGGTATTGAGCCTAAGCTAGCTGATTTTTCAGAAGTAAGTTATAGGAAGGATATTAGTGTTTAATTAGAGTGAAGTCAAATCAAGATTTATTGTGTGTACTAAATATTAAACAAGTTACTGAAAGTGTTGAATTAGGAATCGACATTACAGCATCTGGACACTCCCTTAAGCACTCCATCTCCTGAAAATGAAATCCTTAAGCAAGATCCTTGGTATATCAATTAGAAACCCTATCATGAATTATGAAGCTCATCAGATCATTATTTAGCACACTTGCAAATATGAATTTCTTTTAACAGACATAAAAAGAGACACAAACTACCATGGTGTAGACATATAATGAAACATACTAACATTTTCAAAACCATACTAGAGGCCTTAGTGCTAGGGAAGAGAAGATTAGGCAGGCCAAAAATGGCCTCGATCCTAAATTTGGTTGACTAGATGGGCTTTGATCAGGGATAAATCTAATCACCAGAAATGGAAAGAGTCAGACAGTCAACAATAACTCGGAGACCCAACAACACACAGTGTTATGGGACTGTAGATAGATCTAGTAGGAATAATAACTGAGACATTGCAAGAAGAAATACCAGTTACAGATATTTAATGTTTAATTAGGAATCGACATAACAGCACTCTGGACATTCCCATAATCGCTCCATCCTCATCTTCAGCAGCAAGTGCAGAGTTCCAATACGGACAGTACCAGTGGCTGTCTGATTGTATATCCATCTTGCCTTTTCCTTACATTTTGATTGTTGGCCAGATCCCCTGATCACTCCTTGCAGCACCATCTCAGACCTTGATCCATCTGTGCCTCCCCACTGTTCACTTACTCCCAGATGGCCCTCAGCTTACTGGCCTATGTGTTCAGAACCCTACACAAATCTGACTTTTATTACGATACTCTGGCAACCGTCCTGTGGTGTTCTTTGGACAACAGGATTGTTAGAGCTGATGTTCCAAGCCTCTAAATAAATGGCAGGGACATCAAAAGAGATAGCAGATTGCGATACCTGGGAATCACCTTTGACAGAAGTTTGTCTTTCAAGTATCACATAGAGGAGTTAGTGACAAGGGCTCAAAAAGGTCTTAATGCACTAAAGATTATGGCAGTGATGGTCATGGAGCAGAGAATGTCGTTCATACTTTACCAGCACTTAATCATCTCAGTTATTAATTATGGATTGGGATTACTCAGTCTCAAAGAGTCAGCTAGAGAAACCGGAGCGCATACAAAACAAAGCTATGTGGGTGATCCTGGGATGTACAAGAGACACCCCAATTGTGTGCATGCGATACATCCTTGCATTGCCGACTATTGCAGATAGACTAAAGGTGCTGCAGGCTAAGTCATACCTCAGAGTAGCTGCAGACAAAGAACACGTTTTTTTTTAAGCTTTGGCTGCAGGTAAAGGTCAGAGGCTGAAAAGGAGAAAATTATGGATGGCTCAAACAGAAGACACAATAAGACAAGTATGCATGCTGGAGAACATTGTGCGAGGAGAGGAGTGGGTCAGATTATCAGAGGACAAGTCTGACCTGTGTAGGGTTATGATCACATTGGGTCGGGAGTACTGAGAGTGGCCAGCGGGTGCTACGGGGGATGAAGTTGAACAGTTGATTCATGACAATTCAAGCCCAGGTGATCTGATTATCTATACTGATGGTTCGGTGGTGAGAGGAAAGGGAAGTGCCTGAGGGTTCGTAGTGAAAGCCATAGGAAAATCTTTAGTGCAAGACAGCCTAGCATACGACACCACAACGTCTAGCATGAGAATGGAGGCGGAGGCGGTAACTGCAGCTCTCTGGTGGGTAGAGAATAAAATGCATACTTATCATAATTGTAACAGACTATAAAAGAATGTTGAGAATGATGAAGACAGAGATGTTTTGAGCAGAGTGGCAAGCTTCACTGGAAAGATCACGGGTGGGTAATGAACAGGCAGACAGATTGGCTGGATCTGCACCACTGGATGCTGAATTGATGCATGACAGGGCAGATGTTGTCAAGGCCCTTTGGGAACAAGTAATGGAATCAGTAGAGAAACAAGATTATTATGGCCTGGAGAGAATTAGGCACCTGAGTGTAACCAGAGGGTTTGGCTGACTCGCTACTCTCAGAGGAAAGGTGAGATTGACTTTTAACCAGTTTGTGACCGGTACCATCAGTATTGGAACTCTGCTCTGGTTGCTGAAGATGAGGACAGAGTACACATGGGAATGCCCCGAGTGCTGTGATGTCAATTCTTGACTTAACTAACTATCAAACCTGCACAAATGTCTAACTGTGTCTTCAGCTTGCACCATCCAAGACCTTTCTCTTTTCAGTCTGTAACCCCTAGCTGTGTCCAGGGCTTCATGAAAGATGTGTTTCTTGTCTGCAGCTACTCTGAGATATGCCTTTTTGCTTGCAGCACTTTGAGCCTATCTGTAATAGTTGGCAGTGCAAGTATATATCGTACACATACAACCATGGTATCTCTTGTACATCCCAAAATTACTCACAAAGCTTCATTCTTTATGCGTTTCAATTTTATCAGCTGACTTTTTTTTATAGAGTAAGCATTCCAAGTCCATAATCTGTCACTGAGAGGATCGAATGCTGAAACATTATGAATAGCATTCTTTGTTCCATGTTCATTGCTGCCATAACCTTAAGTACATTGAGTCATTTTTGGCATTTCGCCGCCACTGCCTCCACATGATAGCTGAACAGGCTTCTGTTTAAAGTGATACACAAGTTCCTACGTTTGCTTTCTCTTTTGATGTTTCTGTCATGAATTGTGAGACTGGAATTACAAGTGAAATATTTGAAACCTGAAAAAAGACATAGAGTCAGCCATTATTTTTAGAAATTAACGTGAAAAATTTAGCCTTCTTAATGATTTGCACTTAACTGGCAATAAGTTGCATCAGATTACTTAAGATTGGAACCTACCAAGGAGTAGAGAAATTGAACAACAAATATATTTTGATTTTTTTTTACTTACCACAAAGTGTATTATAGTAGTGCTGGAGAAAAAAATGCATTTAAAAAAATGTGCCGCACTGTGTCCCACCAGAAAAAAAAACGAATATAGTTCTTAGCATTGATTATAATGGATGATTTTTTTATTGTGGTAATATGATCTTTCAAGTATCTCAAGATATTTGGATACTGCTAGGAAAACACATCTAATATTTATCAGTATTCTAAACGCATTGTGTGGGTGATGGGGGGGGGGGGGGGGGGGGGGGGGGGGGTCATTTTATATTTATTAAATGGTTATTTTGTTTTTCATGTTGATCAGTGTATTCTAAATTACTTTGGGCTGACAAGTGGGTCTGGGAGTCTCTATGTGGAGCTAAAAGACAATTATCTAATAATCAGTGATGTCAGCCAGGCAGGAAGTGATGAAGTTGCCATACAGGTAAGACAATACTACTAATACTACTGATTTTATATATATAAATATATATATGTACATATATATGTATTTTGCATGCACATCAATTTTACAAATCTGGCTTATTTGTATGTAGACTGTTAGTTCCTTGCTTTTCAAGCAGATACATTCCAGTTTCGAAGAAAATATACATAATCACTCAGCTATTATGGCATGCTTGTTAGGAAGCAGTTAGTCCGTTATTTTTTTTCCCCATCAGTGATACAACCCAGGAACCCACACAGGAATTCAGAATGGTATGAAACTTATATCATTGTTAAAATAAGCCCAGAGTAGTCTGCTATCAGATCGCTTCCAGCTGACTTTGAACCTTGGTTTGTCGGAATTGTGAAACTACATTCTGTATATTTGAGTTTAATGTTCTACTTTCATTTGGCAGTTCTTGTTAGTTACTGTTACATTATTTGTGATTTTGGTATGCAAGAGCACCATTTCCCATGTCAATCAGGAACTGCTACATAATTTCACAGAAAATGATTCGGGCTTTTGCTAGTCCTCGGTTGATGAGAAGAATATTGAATTGAGAATTGACATCACAGCACTCGGGACACCCCCATAAGCACTCTGTTCCCATTTTCAGTAGCAAGCAAAGAGTTACAGTTTTGATGGCACCAGTAACTGTCTGATTGTTTATCTGTCTCGCCTTTCCCTTGAGTGTTGAGTGTCAGCCAGATCTCCTGGTAACTTCTCGCAGCCCTATTCTCCTTAAACCATAAGGATCTATTTGTGCATCTGCACTGTTCAATGGCTCCCAAAAGTTATTAGAGGAAAGCAGTTTTAACTATAAATTATTCCAGATTTAATGCAAAGATTTAAAAAGGAAGAACTTTAATGACAACATCAAGGAATGGACAGGGCTAAGTTATCATACAGTTATTCGTCAAGACAGAGAAAGATAACAGGGTTTATGCGCTAGTGTTTCTATCAGTACACCTCCACGATATTAACGGGTTAAGGGTTATGTTATGTTATCAAAATATGCAAATGGACGATGTTAAACAGCATCGTCAGGGTTAGAGACAACTGAGGCCTTGTGAGCAGTGGCAATTTAGGTTGATGTGATACTCACAGCTTGGACACCTCATGTCACCGCATAGGCTATCCTCTGAATAATGGTCCCAAATAACCGAGGCTGAAAATATACCCTAACAGGGCCTCAGTCACATGTAAATTGCGGATTTCAGCCGACTACCGCCACCGCCAAGAGTATCTTCTGCACCACGGGGCTAAACTAGATGGCTGGGACTCACGAGCAAATAAAATTAAGGAAGCTGTAGGAGATGCGGTAGCTGATGCTCGTAAGTCCCAGCCATCTAGTTTAGCGCAGCTTACGCAGTGCTGGAGATACTCTCAGCGGTGGCGGTAGTCACAGGAAATCCACAATTTAAATCGCAGGAAGTCCACAATTTACATGTGACTGAAGCCCTGTTAGGGTATATTTTCGGCCTCGATAATTTGGAACTGTTATTCGGAAGATAGCTGCCGCATATAAAGACTTTTTTTCTGTATGTCCGAGGGTATAAGAACGGAAAAGAATAAATCAATCTATATTTATATAGATAATGTACTATCTCACAGCATCCAACATTCTGTCCTATGCTTCACTTGAGTCTTGAAGCAGTGTCTTTACCAGACGAGATCAGCACTCGTGGGGTAGATGTTGGTGCATCAATCCTCTTAGAATCATCTGATGGAAAAATCCTCCTTTCAAAACGAGCGCGCCACCTGCGAATATTTCCTGGACTATGGGTTCCACCTGGTAATGACTTGATTATGATATGTTTCTTATTCTTTATTATTATTTTTCAAAGGAAATACAATATATCTAGTGTTTTTGTTTTTTTTCATTTGGTTACCTTTTGTCTTTCTACACGATATTATTAAGTTGGCATAGAAATCACAGCCCATGACAAATGACTAGCAAGACTAGCAAGACCCACTCATTTTAAGAAAAGTCTTCATAATTTCCATAACGCAAACCCTGGGCAGTATTGCAGAGATCCTATGTTGCCCATGCAGCATGATTCCTTACTTTGCCTGTATTGTTTACTCTGAAGAAAAGGTGACGCCAATATGTTTGGAACATAGCATGCTGCAGAAGCTGTCAGATCAGAAGAGCAGTGCTCTGTTCTACTGTCTGAGCTTCCTTCCTAGACCTGCTTCCAACCAAGGCTAAGAGCCTGGTATTATTCATACCTTTCTTAAATAATAGAGAAGGCATGGTACTAGGAAGGAGGGGCAGGGGCCGACCAAAACTTAGATGGGCACAGGATGCAGCTTTAGTTTTTTTACATGCTTTTTAATAAACAGTACAAGTAATCATTCCTCTAGACAAATGTCATCTAAAGTAACCATCTTCGTCCATTTATGGGTTGTGGTAGATTTTTTTCTTCCAATTTGGCCACCTTGTGAACTTTCATTCCAAAGATGTTCTTGATAGTCTCGGTTTTGTCTGTGTATGTTGGTGTATAAGTCTCTGTATGTGCCTGTGTATGTGTTGTGTCAGCGTGTGCACTTCCTTTGAGCCGGTTTTTCTTCTTCTTCCTTCCCCCACCCTCTTTACCAGTAATCGGAATACCCAAATTTCAGATAAATCATCATGTACTCAACAGTTCATGTTCAGTTATGAAAATGAGGCATGCATTATTGTTCTTCTACTTCCCCTTATGTACTTATACTTTCCCTTTACCATTAATCAAATTCTACAAATTTCAGATAAATCATCCTGTACCCAACAGTTCATGTTCATTTATGAAAATGAGGAATGCATATATGTTTTTCTACTTCCCTTTATGAACTTATACTTTCCCTTTACCAGTAATCGGATTCTGCAAATTTCAGATAAATCATCCTGTACCCAACAATTCATGTTAAGTTATGAAAATGAGGCATGCATATTTGTACTTATACTTCCCCTTATGTTCTTATACTTCCCTGTTCGGGTTCCAAGGCCCCATTTTGGGAAAAGAGGAATATAGCCACTGTTCCTTAATAAACATTTACAAGGGGATTTTTTTTTTTAACGATGTTACCTTCAAAGTTAGAGTACATCTGCCTGAGAGGAAACAATAGTCTGCATATAAATGAGCTAGATCTGTAAAACACATGTGCACCCAAAACTCACATTCTGCAACAAGACAAAAGTCTAGAAGTGGATGAACAACCAAGACTTTCTGCCTGAGTTTGCAGCCAGTGAACGCAAAGAAGAAGAGGTACTCATACTAATAGTCTGATGGCTGAAATATTTTAGGTTTTGGTATTTTCAGTTATTTGATTAACACTTTTTTTTTTAATGTCTGAATTTAAAAAAAACTTGATTTTCACCTTACTGAGGATTCAAACAAGAATATCCTGCATAAGTGTCCTGCGTCTTTAACCTTTTTGGCCAGCTGCTTGTATTTTACTAATAGTTTATATTTTACATGGTTTTGTTGAAAATTCTTAACTTTCTTTCTTTTCTCTTTTTTAATTTTTTTTAAATTTTATTTAGGTGGCCACATAGAGGAAAATGAAACAGTAAGTAACATTCTTACTCTGAAGCAAGTTATTTTATGACAACTAATGTAAGCAAAAGTAAAATTTCTTTGTGTGCCAGTAGTTATCCTACAAATGATGCTAGGCTGATATGCTTATAGATCAATTTGCACTTGATGTGATCGCTATCACGCTAACTTTACCTCTCAGGACGTATTCCTGGTACCTATTTTAGGCAAGGATCAACCTGGGGACCAAGGGCAACTTTTTTTTTTTCAAATACGCTTAATGCAGATCTGAACTCAAGATCTTCGGGCTGACAAGTAAGCATCTGGCCACTACCTCACTCAGCTCTAGTGACACACAAAAGATTATCCATAATTGTTTCATAACATCCTAGTCTTGTGCAAAATATTGCTGAACGTTCTCACTGTACCCTCAATATATTCCCTGCTTCACGCATCATCATTGGCAGCGTATCGGCTTCAAAATATGAAATATCTTCTGTCATTAATTAAGACCATCGGCTTCCTTGCCTTGGGCGTTGCTATCACAGTTTGTAATTCCAAGGTTTGATTTCAGCTGTGGGCAGATTGGCAGCAGATTGTTTTGCATTGATCTTGATAATGATATCTAGAGCCAACTGTTCAGGAAGCCATGGCAAACTGCTGAATGTAAATTGCATAATAAAATCACAAACAGCTCTGCAACGACCTGTGAAGGGTACAGAAATAATTTTCTGAACAACAAAACTATTTCTGTATATAATAATTAATCATCATCATCAAGTACCTTGCCAGCTGCCTTAGGCATTCATGCATCTCCACAGATCTCGGACTTTGGTGCTCTAGATCAATTCCAGTGATGATATTCCTTAATGCCACTGTCTTAAGCTATCTACCATCATTTCTCTTGGTCTGCCTCAGCCTGTTCTACCAGTGATCTTTTCAGTCGTCACAATATTTTCCAGTGCTTCTTTTGTCATCACATGACCAAAAACATTTGTCTTCTTCTCCTTGTATATAATGTTCTACTTTAATTCGTCATTTCCAAGCAATCATTGTTAGTTATTTTGGCAGCCCAAGATATTTGCAACATTCTTCTCAAGAACCACATCTCAGTTGCCTCCAAACTTGTCTTAATTTGTTTACTCACATTCCAAGATTCATGCCATACAACAGAACAGGTTCGCTGTAACATTTCAGTACTCGTTTTCTCTGATGTTTAATTAGAGTGATTAATTCCATAAGATACTCCTCATTTTCATAAATGCTACCTTTGCCTGGGCAATTCTACTCTTAATTTCTGTCTCACATGGTCTATCTGATATGAATGTCCCCCAAAAACATGAATTTATTGACTTGGCTAAGCACCCTCAACCCCCCCCCCCCCCCCCCCCTTTTCCATTACTATGTCACATTTTGGAGTTATCTTCTTATTTTATATAACCATTGTTTATGTTTTCTTGACATTCAAGGAAAGTCCCTTTTTGAACTCTAGTACCACAGTGTCTAACTGTTGTTGTAGGTCTGCATTTTCAGCTATTAATACTGTATCATCAGCAAACGAAGATTGTTTACATTATAACCTCCAACTAGTATTCCTGGTCTATCCTTGACCTTTCTCGTTATCATTTCACTGTAGAGAGATAAGAGATCTGATGACAAAACACATCCTTGTCTCAGTCCTTGCTCTACCTGTTCATAACTACCTACTTTATTTCTCAGTTTTTGCTGCTTTTTGTTTCCAGTAAATATTTTTGAATTATTCAGAGATTGTTTCCATCAGTGTTAATATCTAAAAATGTTATCATGTCATCATGTTTTACTTTATCAAAAGCTTTGGTGTAATCTATGAAGCACAAATATATGTCTTTCTGTTTCTCCATTGATCTCTCTACTAATATTCGCAGTGTGTAAATTGTGTGTATATTGTACCTTTGCATTCTACAAAACCATACTGCTCTTCATTAATTTCCATTTTTTTCTTTCTTGTTCTTCTCATTAAAATTCTGAGTAACAGTTTGGTGACATGGTTAATTAATATAATAATTTGCTGTTCTAAATTTACATTAACTCTCTAGCACCACAGCTAGTTACACCTTTTAAATCCAGAATAATCTGTCGCAGATAAAACTTTGTCATTGCTCATTTTTTATCTTAAATGTTCGGCATCTTTGTCCAGCTTGCTAACTGATTACAGTCTTCAGTATTTCATCATAATTCCCCCACCCACCCCCCGCCCCCTCTCCCCCACCTTATGCAGGTCGCAGGACCTCATTTTGTGTGAAAAGAATTGACCCACTGTCCCCTAACAGGCATATTGTAAAAGTTGACAAATTAGAGATTTGCTGAAATCAGATAAGGTCAAAAGGTGCAGATATTAAATTTAAACTGTAAACCACAACAGAACGTGCCAACTGCCATTTTAAAGGTGAACAGAGAAGTCATAATTTCAGAATAGGACCTATAACCGTCATTAGTAACTTAACAAGTAACATGTAAGCAGCTTTGTTTAAATCTTTTATAAGCTGTTACTTCATCTTGCTACCACAATACAGGAACCACTACCTACTAAGACTGGTCTGGGTTTTATCCCTGTCAGATTTTTTTTATTATTATAATTATTTTTGACAGGCCACTATGACTCCAGGTCTATGCAGGTTTTTAACTCTTTGAATCCCAAGAAATGCATCATACGTTCATAGGTTCCTACCTAGAAGCCCAATGAACACATGATGCGCTGATTTATTACATTCTTTACTACCCTCTGGGCCTGTGATGCTAAACCCCCTGGGACTCTAAGAGTTGAAAATAGGTACCAGACAATTTTATTTCCAGATTTTCTGGATATGGTCTAAAATAGAAATGTAATTCCAAGAAAAGCCATCTAATGTACTTTATATGTCATCAACTTCAAAGCATACTGGGCACACTTATAGATACTCTCTCTCTCACAGAATATGTCTTAAACTGTTCCCGTAGCACAATGATTATATACACGTCGTTATCTTTATCTCATATTTCCCTCCTTGCCAGGTCCATTCCAAATTCCATGTTCACACATTCTTGCCCATGTTATTTCATTTAACCCCTTGTCTTCTATCAGCATTCGTTCATGAATGGTCTTCAGAATGTCTCCTTTGTCCAGTACAAGTGTTCTTGTAGCTATCGCTTTTGTAGCATAAAAAATCTGCTCTTTAGTTCCCTCACACTCTTGCATCTCCTGGACAGTATATCCATATAAACCCTGTAATATTAACCTGCTGATGCTTGATATCTACTCATATCATATTTGATCATTTTGTACCTTCAGCAATACTGACAGAGAATCCGACTCTATAATTCTTCTGGTAACTTTGTTTTCTGCTTTCCACTCCAGAGATGCAGTGATTGCCTCCACCTCCATTGTCATGCTTGAAGTTATAGATATTAAAAAAGCACTATACAAAATGTAGACTAAGAAAATGAGAATGCCTAAAGAATGTGAAAAGACCCAAAACTTCACACCCCTATAAAGTTTCTTCTATGGGACTACCTATACGAATGTATGCCTTGGTAATACCATTAATTTTTAATACTTCATATTTCAGATGTTGGAAGCCGGTTTGAGAGAACTGAAAGAGGAGACTGGACTTAATCTAAAACCATCTGACTGTCTCCAAAATAAAATATACCTGTTAGCACTTTGGGAGGTAATAGGCACATTTTGCAAGCAAACAATTTGAATCTAACAGATGGTAATGCTTATCACCTCATAGTGTAAATGTAATGACATCTGTGATACTGCCTTTTTCTGTTTATTTTTATTTTTTTTAAACATCTGCTGTTAAAACTTTTTTGTAAGATAACATATGTAGATAAAACTGTAAGGCTGAGTTAAGGTTAGTATAAAATTGAACACTGACAAAAGACAGTATTTGAGTTACATCACCAGTGTTTGCACAAACAGCATATTTTATATTCCTAATACACCAGGGGTCTCTGGCGAAGTGATCAAGCCATTTGCCTTATGTTATAAAGGTTGTGGGTTCATTTCATGGCTGCGTCATTCAATTCATTTGTGCTGTTTTTACAGCGATCCCTGGGCAGTGTTTCTAAAATTATGGAGTTTGTGCTTTGTGTGGCGGCCATCATTCTACAGAGATAGACCAAGCCAAATGCTATAAAACCCCTTGCAATGAATTTGATCCTGTCGATTTAACTATATTCCAAGACTGTATTTGATGTATTTTTAAGAGTGTATTGCCTTTGATTCTGTAAACTCCCCATGTGCTGCGTTCTGGGGTCCCATTGGGGAAAAGAAGGAGGGAGGATAAAGCCACTGTCCTCCCTAACAAGCTTGTCATAAAAGGTGACTAGTGACTAGTTAGGGGTTTTCTGAAATCAGATGTGTTAGACAAAATGCAGATATTGCAGCCTGTCTGTTAACTACAACACAGTGTGTGTCAACCACCCTTTTACACCCCTGTCACCACAAGAAGACTAGTTTTAAAGGCAGATAAATAAATATATAATTTTTTGTTTCAATTTATTAGTCATCTGTTTAATATTTTTTTTTATTAGGGATTTTTTCCAGAAATTCCCACTGGTTCATAACTCATTTTGTTAGCATTCACAGGGCGAAAAAGTTGAGAGTGAGTGCAGAAGAAAAAGAAGGTTCCATAAATAAACTTCTTCTGCTCCATTTCCTTTCACAGTGGAGCATAACTCCCCCCCCCCCCCCCCACCTTTCCCCCCTGCTCCACCACCCCCTTCCCCCATCAACTAGCTCATCCCAGACAAGCCAGTTAGACTTTGTAGACTTGGTCCTTCACCATCTCTTAGTGTTTCTACTTTCATATTGTACGCCGTCTTTTCTGGCATCATTGCTTTATTCTCATTAAATGACCAAACCATTTCAGTCTTCCTTTTTCAGTGTCTTGTTATTTCTTTGCTTCTCACATGATTTCTTCTAGTTTTGTGCATGGCCATTCTCACACATCTAATTTTCAGGTGGTCAGTTTTTTTTTCATGTTCTTTTGTCAGTGTCCAGGTCTGACACTGACAGCACAAAGTTGTTTTGAAGATTATATTTATATTTTATCTTTTTGTCTCTGTTGGGATAACCTGGGACTTCAAAATTAGGGTCAATTAATACATGACATGGTTGGATGCTTGTTTCAGTTTCTCAATTCAGCATCAAGACAATAAAGCTTATTAATTAACAGCTTTCTAGTCACAGTTTGTGTTGTATCAACTACAGTCAGTCCTAATTACATCATAAATATATCACAGCATGCTTGATAAATATTTAATCTTTTCTTCTGCCCTTTATCCTCCAGTAAAGTATATACCTTCAACCAATTCACACCAAACCATTTTAGATTTCTTTATCAGACGGTCACTGGTACCATCGGTATTGGAACTTTTCGCTTGCTGCTGAAGATGGGGGCTGAGCACTTATGGGTGTTTCGAGTGCTGTGATGTCAGTTCCTAATTCAACATTCAACAGATTTCTTTATATTAGATTTGCTGTTATGACTAAAGTCTGTTATGGGAGGGAGTAGCCAGCCACAGTCCTAGCCTTGGTCATCTCTTACAGCAGCATTGTAGGATGCAGTGTTAGTGTTCTTTGCTTCTTCCCATCAAGACCCATCCAGGGCAGCCACATACAGATTCGTCACCCCTCAAGCAAAGGAAGGGGTAGAACTTGGGCATTCCATGCCATCCAAGGAGGCTTCCATAAATGCAGAGCTGACACATGTCCCTCTGGTCCTGGGCTCACTCAGGGAATCGTCACGTCTGGCAAATGACTGCTTAACCTGACATCGGTATTTTGAGCTTTCCTACTCATCACAGGCTGCGCCCTTTAGAGACAAACTGGAAGCAGGCCACAGATCACTGATGATCCAACCTACAGTTAGTCTCAGAAAATATCATGGGAAGTAAAGACAGACAACAGGATGTTGACCACATCACCAATATCCACTTTGTCTATAACACAATAGGGCTAGCATCCTGACATTATGATAATTTTTTCATTCAATCTGTCAACAGTCTGTTTACCCACCAAAGCTATCAGTTGGACCACCTGTTCGTCACCACATTGTTGTGTATTTTCATGCTAAGCTTCTGGAAGACCTCACAGCTGAAGTAATGGAAAGACGTATAAATTTTGAACCAGGAGAGGTAGATTCCTGTGCATGGTTAGACAGAGATATAGTTTCTGCAATTGCCCAGTCGTTTGATGAGGACTATGATGAAGGCATCAACAATGACCATTTACCAAAGTCTTTCAGGTAGTTTCTCTATTTCAGTTCTGTGCACTTGTGTGTGTGTGTTTGTGCATATATGTATGTAAATATAAATTATATATCCCTGTATTTCATGAAGAAGAAAAAAGTGATCATATACAGAGAATCTGTGGAGGTAGAATAAAAAGAGAGTGCCTGATGCAAACAAAAAAGAGACAACTGAAATATTTCAGTTACATTAAAATATATAACGCTTACAAAATCATACTGGAGGAAGAAGTCAAAGGCAAGAGGTAATTAACAATACAGGCTGGAAGACAACATCAAGAGACACACGAACATCAGTCTAAGAAAGTGTATAACCAAGAGACAGCATTTTGGGGATATGTTGCAGCCAGCCTTCTTTGAGGAGACCGTACCTGATTGATAAACTAATACATCCAGCACCTATTAAGCTACAGCCGGTGAACGAAGAAGAAGAAGAAGATATTGCACCAACAGTAGCAAGAAGCAGCTGTCAAGAAAATCTGTTGAAACTTCAAACTGTTTCCCTCTATTGTACCTTCCGGGCTCCACTTTGGGGAGGAAAAGAAAACCCAGTCCCTTAACAAGCATGTAATAAAATGTGACTTATTATAGGTTTGCTGAAATCAGATGTGTTGAGTTTGTTCTTCTTCATCTTTTGTCATCTAATGGACACCAGGTTGTAGCCCAGTGTGGTGGTTTTCTGTATATGTCTTGCACTTCTTGGGTGGCTTGGATGATGGATTTGTTCATCTTTTTGCAGGTTTCGGCTATACCATTTATCCGTCTCTTTCTTGGTCTTCCTTTCACCTTCCTCCCATGCAGTTTGGCCAGGGTGCGTTCTCACAAGATGGCCGAACCATTTCATTCTTAGTCTGTCAATAAATTCCAGACATGGTCTTTTTCCAACTTTCTCTCTAATGCTGGTGTTGTTGGTGTATTGGGCTAAAAGGTTGTATAAGACAACTTGCCAAGCTAGACAAGATATTATGTTGTAAGGACGCTTGTGGAGCACGCGAACGGTGCACGGGCAAAAAAAAAAAGATCATCGCAGTCTGAATAGAATGGTTCATCAGGGAGTTCATTGCATACCAGCTTGCCCCAATTTTAAAACACCCTGCTGTCCCAGCTGAGATAAAAAGACAAATTATAAATACAATCTTTATACCGACATTAGGTTATCAATGTCAGACTTGGACATTAACAAAAGAACACGAGAGAAGACTAACCACCTGTGAAATGAGATGTTTGAGAATGGCTGCGAATAAAACCAGAAGAGATCGAGTGAGAAACGATGTGATTACAAGAACTATTGGAACCATCCCCATCGTTAAATTTATTGAGAAGCAAAGAATGAAATGGTTTGGTCACCTAATGAGAATGGAACCAACGATGCCAGCATCAAGAGCATACAACATGAAAATCGAAACACCAAGAGGCAGGGGAAGACTAAGAAGAAGATGGATTGAAGGAATCACGGACAACTTGAGACTTCATAACATCACGGCATATGAAGCGACTGAGCACGCCCTGGCTCGGTTGCCGATCATCTGATAGACTGCGACGCCTAGCGGCACAAGCAGATTTTGACAAAAGAAGAAGATCAGGGAGTGACCAGTGACACAGTTAGGATCCTTTCAGTAGCTCTGCTGGTTTTTTTTTTTTTTTTTTATTGTTAATTTTTTTTTAGTAGTAAACCACTATTGGATAACTATGCATTTTTTGGGTTTAATTAACAGTATAGAATCCATGTTGAACACAAGTTCATTTGACATGTTGTTCTATTTCACAGGGCATTAGTTCTGGATGAAAATCAGAAGCAAATATTCTGTGATCTTCCAACTGAACCTCTAGTCAGAATTTTATCTGCTAGTGCAGATGACAAGGAGAGAGTTAGCACAGGAACAAAGTTTGCTCTTCAGAAACTTCTTCAGTTTGAAGCTGATTTGTTATGATTTAGTTAGTGAATTGTGTGTCATTCAATTCTGCACATTATTATTCAGTTAGTACAGTGGTTTTCAAGCCTTTTTTCAGGTGGCATCTCCCTTGAATTGTGGCAAGACACCTACATGACCTGCGCCCCTCCCCCTCCCAATTCAAAAACAGTGTGATTAACAAAAGGAGGACCAAATAAAATGTCAAGCACTATTAACAAGGAGAAAAACATCCACACAAATCAAAGGGTCAAATAACATAAAAGAAACAATTAGTAATTCATTGGTAATTGTCAAATATATAAATCATACACAGCTGGTAATTTAGTGTCCAAATAGCAGTGTGATGGTTGACATTGATTTGTCCCGATGTTTTCTGCTATTTGTGGTCTGGGTTGAAATTGATTTGTCCCGATGTTTTCTGCTTTTTGTGGTCTGGGTTGACATTGATTTGTCCCGATGTTTTCTGCTTTTTGTAGTCTGGATTGACATTGATTTGTCCCGATGTTTTCTGCTATTTGTGGTCTGGGTTGACATTGATTTGTCCCGATGTTTTCTGCTATTTGTGGTCTGGGTTGACATTGTTTTGCCCCGATGTTTTCTGCTATTTGTGGTCTACGTTGACATTGTTTTGTCCCGATGTTTTCTGCTTTTTGTGGTCTGGGTTGACATTGTTTTGTCCCGATGCTTTCTGCTATTTGTGGTCTGATGTTGGACACATCATAAAGAAATACTGGAAAAAAATGTTAGTGGGAAAGATTATTATGAGTACAGATGGACTCAGTATAAAAATGGCTTAATGTCCCTCTTGAAACTTCTTTGCTGCCCCTAGGTTGAAAACCACTGAGTCAGTAAACTGTCATGATTAAATTTTAATTTGTGATGAGGTTGAATGCAGCAGATATGTTCATCCCCTGCTAATTTTAGAATATTATGTGTTGAGGTCTAAATCTTCTTTATGGTACCACTCTCATACCACTATTTTAAAGTAACATAAACTGCCTTTTTCTAAACTCCCTCACAGTTATAATCGGCTCTTGTATGTCATAGATTGCAAATCATATTCACTTACCTCTAACTGCATAAAAATAATACTCATGGAAAGTTGTTACTGTAACTGCGCAAAGCTCACAGTTTTATAATAAATATATATAATTTAATTTTTTCAACATTTTCTAAATGATTTTATTGGTTTATAATTGTATTAACCTTTTGAGGGAAGTTTGACATTTTGTAAGGGAATTACAGAGAGAAGTGAAAAAGATGGCGGAGGATACTGGGAGTTGATGGGGGGGTAACACTCTATTGTTGGATAAAGGGCAGAAGAAAAAGACGAAGAACATTCTCTCTCTCTCTCTCTCTCTCTCTCTCTCTCTCTCTCTCTCTCACACTAAGTAAGAGTCAACAAATTGGGAGGTTCCTTCAAAGTGGAAATGCATGTGCCTGAGAGGCAAGGAACCAACAGTCTGCATACAGATAAGCCAGATATGTTAAACAAATGTGCATGCAGCACTCATTTCTGGAACAGGACTAAAGTCCAGAAGTGGAAGAATAACCAGAACTTTCTGCCGGAGTTGGTGAATGCGAAGAAGGAGAAGATTAAACAGAGTAAACCAATAATGTAAACATTCACACACATACACACACACAAATCTATCAAGGCTCACCCACACTGGACTGCACGTTACTTGATATCAATTTTGTGGTGCTCTAATATAACACTTAAGATCTTCAGCTCTTGTGTGATTCCAGTACTAACTTATGGATGCGAGTGTTGGAAAGCAACAGTAGCTCTTGATAAAAAATGAGACAATTTTGAGAACAGATGTCTTAGAAGAATACTGAATCTCCTCTGGACAGATTTCAGATCCAATACGCAAATAAGACAAGAGACCAAGCAAGAAAATATATCAAATTTTATAAGAAAACGCCGCTGGAATTACATTGGCCATGCACACAGAACACAGTAGACAGGACATTAAGAGGCATAAGATGAACTCCATTCACCATGCTTGAGGACCTTGATTTTGCAGATGATATAGCACTCCTATCACATAAACATGAACATATACAAGAGAAAAGTAACAGACTAAACTGTTTTGCAGATGATATAGCACTCCTATCACATAAAGATGAACATATACAAGAGAAAAGTAACAGACTAAACTGTTTTGCAGATGATATAGCACTCCTATCACATAAAAATGAACATATACAAGAGAAAAGTAACAGACTAAACTGCACAGCAGAAATGGTGGGACTGAGAATAAATACAAAGAAAACTAAGATCATGACAAACAGTCCAAACCAACAACCAGTGACCATAAGTAACCAATCACTTGAAAATGTAGAACATTTCACGTATCTTGGCAGTGTGGTGTCCCCACTGGGAGGGACAGAGGAAGACATAGTCACGTCTGAACAAAGCTAGAGCTGCTTTTGGAAGGATGAGGCAAATCTGGAAATCCAACAATTACTGCAGAGGAACGAAACTCCGACTCTACAAGAGCATCATTTAGCCAGTTCTTCTTTATGAAGCGGAATGCTAGAGAATGACCAAAAAGGATGCACACAAGCTGTCCATCTTCCACCACACATGTCTACGTAGAATTATCAAAATTTTCTGGCCAGATACAATCTCAGACACTAAACTACTTCAAACCACAAACCAAGAAACTTTAGACATTATGATTACCAAGAGAAGATGGAAATGGCTTGGCCACGTTATGAGAATGACTTCTGATATACCTGCCAAAACAGCTCTCACATGGACACCAGAGGGAAAGAGAAAACAGGGGCACCCAAAAACAACATGGAGACGAACGATGGAAAGTGACCTGAGTGCGGCACCTTTGACATGGAAAACTGCATTAAAGATTGCACAGGACAGGAAAGCAAGGAAAGTCCTCTCTGAAGCCTCAAGTGCCACTAGGCATAACGAGAACTGATGATGCACTCAGAATTAATAAGACAAAACTCCCCCATGAAGCCCTCATATGGACACTGGAAGAGAAAAGAAAACGGGGGATACCAAGAGAGACCCTGCGAAGAACCATCTTCAGGGAAGGCTCAACTATGGGCCTAATGAATATCCAAGACCTAAATTGAGTGGCAACGAACCGCCAGACATGGAAAGCTATGACCTGTGCCCTATGTGCCGCCTTAGGCTCAAGAGGAAAACTAACTAATGCATCCCAGTTGAACAGGGTTTTCAGTATTTGTAACTGTTCAGTGGCATACCTAGGTTAGGACAGAAGCGTGAGTACCACTTGGCAGCCGAAAAAAAATTGTTTATTCCTTGATCATAAAAATCTTTTTCTGGAGTATCCAATAGCAGTCTACTGATATCATTATTTATTCAATACTTATGTGCAACACTCTCAGAGTTTACACTGTGCAGGCTACAGTATGAGAAATTAAAAAGACTTCAAAGTCACTCACTGCATTTTAAATTTCAAGAGAGAACAAAAAACAGACTAAAGCGTCAGAGCTCCAACCACCTTGCTAGAGAACTGTACAGACAGCACCAAGATCTGCTTGAAAGAGATGTTGCACTGTGTGAAAAACTTGGACAAGCAGGCTAGAGAAAGCAAATGTAGTCCTAAAGAATCACTTCAAAAGATGCCCAGACGGAGACACAACAGAGAACCCTGGCTCTTGCTATGCTTGATGAGAAGTATCCAAACACCACTTGGACTCAGGTTTTCACTGACGGCTCTGCTACAGATACAGTCAGAAAGGGGAGTTGTGGAATTTACATTAAACCCCCTAGCAGTAGAACAGAAACTCTCTCTCTATCAACAGGTGACATCTGCACTGACTTCAGAGCTGAGGCAACTGCCATCCTCTCTGCAGTCCAACATCTCATTACTCAAGAACACAGAGGGCACCAAATTGTTATACTTAGTGACTCATTGTCTGTTCTCCAAGCACAATTAGCAAAAAACAAGACAAACTAATGGCAGATCTAAGGACCAACACTGGCTTACTCTCCAAGGAAGCAGAACTGGTCTTGCAGTGGATACCAGCCCACTGTGTATTCAAGGAAATGAGAGAGCAAATGAGTTGGCAAAAGCTGGGAGTAATCTTCCACAACCTCATCCACCACTACAAGGAAACGATAACAGCGCTAAAGCAGTCTTTCAAGCGGGAGTGGAGAAGGCAGAGTGGAGATTACAGACCAGTGAGTGACAGCATAAACAAACTCAACAGGAAAGAACAAACATCCATTTTTAGACTTCGGACTGGACACTGTGGTCTTCGAGCACACCTGTACAGGATAGGCATAAAAGAATCAACCCACCGTTGAGCTGCTGAAAAGTCCAAGTGGGCTGCTGAAAAGTCCAGATCGGTTGCCCAAAAAATTCCTTATTAACGAGGTAGGTAGTCTGTAGGATTAACACCTCAAGGAACTCCTGTTTATGTAAAAAGACTTACTCAGGGTTGTCAATAATAAAAACCAAACACAGAAATCGAAGTAATGTTATTTTAGCGCTTTATCTATCAGAAACAACGTTCCAGTCACATACATCAGATTTTTTAAACCTTTAAGCAGCAGCATTACCTGACAATTTTAAGTTTAATTGTTTTGTTTCTTTCGTGTTTGGTTAGCTAACAGATGGGCCCCAAAAACAATTTCCCCTGTTTTGTTGGGCCGTGGTTGTTAAAGTAAAACGGTTGAGAAAACGCTAACCTAGAGAATGAAATGGCCAACACAAATATTCAACATCAGTATCTTCCCTGGGTAACATTTACCTTATGATAAATGATTGCCCACATCAGAAAGAGGCAGGCTGCATTCTGTGGTCATGCGAGAATAAAGCTGGAGTACGTCGTGACAGTTGAGGTGAGACCGAGAAAAAAAGATGCTAGACCAGTGATTCCCAAACTGTGCGCCGTGGCGCCCCGGGGATCCGCGACCTTTTCACAGGGGCACCGTATGAATAGTCATACTTTTACTTAGGTTAGGGCGCGCGACCAAGAAAAGTTTGGGAAACTGTGCTAGACAGTTAGACGTCAGA